GACGAGGACCGTCGACGAGAGAGAGAGAGAGAGAGAGAGAGAGAGAGAGAGAGAGAGAGAGCGAGAGAGCGAGAGAGAGAGAGAGAGAGAAAACATTTCTCCTCCAGCATCACTTCCCTACATGGCAGCAGGATGAGAACAGAGAGAGAGAGACAGACAGACAAGCAATGAGAGACAGGTCCTGGTATTTATAGCTCTGAGATTTTTCTGAGGAACATTAATGAGCTACATTTCAGATTTCAGCAGCAGTAGCGCACTCATTGATGGCCTCTCAATACTTGTCATTTCTACTTCCCTAATTATTACTGTTCCAGATCATTACGAATCCGCTTTTCATTCAGCCTGAAGCGCTGAAGGAACACACTCCACTGTGCTCTTGCAGACCATTTGAGTTTCAGATGTTGTTGTGTGCTGACTTACACGCGTGATCGGTCTCTTCATAACCCACTTCACACTGCATGGACTGTGTTGTTCATTGATTCTCGATACAAGAATCAACCGTGCGTCGAGTCTCATGACAGTGATGCGTCTCACAGAATCAAAGACTGAACAGATTCCCTTCAGTTACACTAGAGGCCTTTATTACTCCATATCATCATGATCCGTCAGTCGGAGAGAGGAGCGTGTGTGTGTTCAGCCGAGCGAGGGCAGCTTTAGTTACGGGTCAGCTGGCATCTGTCTAACCGTGGTTATAGACGGCAGCTGTGCCACGGGTCGCCCGTCTACTGTAACCACCACAGCCGTTCTGAACACGACTCCTGACGAGACTCCTGTTATAACTAAAACGAACACTATAACTGTTAAAAATGGATTTCATTCATTTAAAAAAAGCTTAGTAAACTAAAATATAAAAACTGAATATAAACTTTAACGAAAATAAGAGATTTAGGCAAATAACTGAAATAAGTTGAAGCACTAATGGTGTGTTCACACCAAACGCGAATGTAATTATTCGCGCGAGTAGATTACATGCAAAAACACGAATAGAGGTGAATTTGCACCAGGCGACGTGGATGACACGGACTGCGCGCCGCGTTTGGCGCGAACACGTAATATTCGTTTCATTTACGTAATAAATAAATAAACAAAATTGACAAAAGCACATAAAATACTAAAATGAAAACTGAAAATATAAAAAGCTCATTCTAAATATTAATAGATGCAATAAAAATACTAAATACTAACCCTAACATAATACTAAAATTACACAGTCTTGCAAGGCTAGAAAACCACAACGGCTGCTGACTGGAGATGGTCCACACTGCAGAACACATGATCCAGGGGGCATGGTTGGATCCAGATCCCTAAACCCACCCATCTCCACCCCTAAACCTACTCATCTCCACCCCTAAACATCAATGCCATAGGGTTGTGACGGGCTTCAGGTTGTGGCGCTTTCCATGGACCCCTAATGTCGTCATCGACATAACTCGAAGTGACGACAAATAGGGAACATCTCGGTTATGCACATAACCCTCGTTCCCTGATGGAGGGAATGGAGACGTTATGTCCCCATGCCACAACCTCGAACCATCGCTGTTTGCCAGGGACAAGTTCCCGGCTCTTCAGTATAAAACCTAATGAGTGGATGCACCTGTTGCCTATTTATACCCGTGTGCACGGGGAGTGGCTCGGCATGCAAAATTCACTAGCCAAATTTCATTGGCGTTTTCTCTTAATCAGAGAGGATTCAGGCTCCCAAGTAAGACCCCTAATGTCGTCATCAACATGACGTCTCCGTTCCCTCCATCAGGGATCGAGGGTTACATACGTAACCGAGACATTCATCAAATCAGAGAATCTTGTTTCTCACATTCTAAGGATCCTTTAGGTGCTTTTTTGCAAATTCCAAGTGGGTTTTTGTGTGTCTTCACTGGAGATGGTTCTCACTGCAGAACACAAGATCCAGGGGGCGTGGTTGGATCCAAATCCAACTCCTCCCACCATCTCCACCCCTAAACCTACCCGTCTCCACCCCGATCCCTAAACCTACCCGTCTCCAGCCCTAAACCTACTCGTCTCCACCTCAAACCCTAAACCTACCCGTCTCCCCCCCCTGATCCCTAAACCTACCAATCTCCACCCCCTAGATGTGGATTCAACCACGCCCCCTGGATCTTGTGAATATTAATAGATGCAATAAAAATACTAAATACTAACCCTAACATAATACTAAAATTACACAGTCTTGCAAGGCTAGAAAACCACAACGGCTGCTGACTGGAGATGGTCCACACTGCAGAACACATGATCCAGGGGGCATGGTTGGATCCAGATCCCTAAACCCACCCATCTCCACCCCTAAACCTACCCGTCTCCACCCCGATCCCTAAACCTACCCGTCTCCAGCCCCTGATCCCTAAACCCAACCATCTCCACCCCTAAACCTACCCGTCTCCAGCCCCTGATCCCTAAACCTACCAATCTCCACCCCCTAGATGTGGATTCAACCACGCCCCCTGGATCTTGTGTTCTGCAGTGAGGGGCTACTGGCCGAGTAAGTGGACTCGCTCGAATGCAGAAATCGAGGATGTGAAAGGGTGATGAATCCCTCCTCAGACGAGAGGAACTGATCAGCAGCTCGAGCTCTCTTCAGCGTCACACACACACACTGGACCCGCCCACAGCCGCTCGCTGATTGGTCAGCTGTAACCCGAGAGGGCGTGCCCGTTCCTTCTGCCCTGACCAATCAGAGTCCAGCAGTGCCCAGCATGGGTCCAAAGGTTCATGGGTCCAAAGTGGCCCAAATGAAAGGCTGCAAACCCTCATGTTTGAGAGAAACACACACACAGTGAATGTTTGTCTCTCATACACTCCGCCCTCAGCACATGTGCGTCGAATGCAGAAATCGAGGATGTGAAAGGGTGATGAATCCCTCCTCAGACGAGAGGAACTGATCAGTAGCTCGAGCTCTCTTCAGCGTCACACACACACACACACTGGACCCGCCCACAGCCGCTCGCTGATTGGTCAGCTGTAACCCGAGAGGGCGTGCCCGTTCCTTCTGCCCTGACCAATCAGAGTCCATCAGTGCCCAGCATGGGTCCAAAGGTTCATGGGTCCAACGTGGCCCAAATGAAAGGCTGCAAACCCTCATGTTTGAGAGAAACACACACACAGTGAATGTTTGTCTCTCATACACTCCGCCCTCAGCATATGTGCAACCTACAGAAACTAGTTGATCTAGTTTGGATAGACGACTGCTCCTTTGCCCAACACACACAAACTCATTAGTCCTCATTAACGACTCCGTTCGGTCAGCAGCCGCTGGAGCTCCTCTTCACCGACAGACGAGCAGAACCAGAGTTTGTGCGGTTTGTGTAGAACATGAGCTCTCCAGCGCAGCGTCACCTCTGAACTCTCACACCGAGAAAGCAACCCAAGAAAAGCAAACAAGCTTCATGACTGACGTCTCTGTTCCAGCTCGCAGTCTTACTGCAGTTTTATGCTGTGCTGCGTCTCATGAATCGTGTGGATGTGATGAGTGTTTGATCACTCTGGTTTCATTAACTAAAGCTGCACTGCACACGCCTGTGACGCATGTACAGTAACAGCAGGAATGGGAATGTGTCTAAATCATCTTTTCTAGGTGAATGTCTTTCTGGTGATGCATTACTATGGACACTAGTTACGTCATATTTCTTGTGTACTTACACAACCATGATGTCCGTTATACATCAGATGTCTATTGTAAGTGCGTTACTTTAAATCTATCTGACTACTAGAGGTAATAGTATGTTGCTCTGTCAACTGAGTTTATCATATTTACTAGGGATGCACCGATATGAAAATTTTGGCCGATACCGATAAC